TTGAGCATTTGCATCTGGCTCCAGAATCCAGACAACCATTAGTTGGCAGAAAAGAGACCTAGAAAATGGATAGCTCATTGCTGTCATCTCACGCTTATCTGGATTTTTGCAGCCCAGTTTCAGTGTGTTAATTTCACGGATGACCTAGTTATGAGTGCTATGGGAACCTAACTTTAATTCATGTATTTCATTTAGGTTCAGCTATAAATGACAGAAGCAGTCGATCTACTTCAATCTGTATTCAAAGAAGCACGACTGCAGCTTTCTTAAGAACGATTAAGCAAATGATAGATTTTATGAGTGATATAAAAATGTACAACAATTTTATTTCCTTTTTGCAGATTGGCTGATAATCAGCTGACGGATATGGATAATTAGTGTATTAAATGCCTAAAAGGGGGTAGTTCATATCTGTACCTCCTTAGAAAGTCTAGGATATTTTGTTATTTCCCTCTTCATTATATTGTTTTACACTATTGTACTTTTTGGCATTCATTTGTAGAGATGTACCTTTGAGTTCTATGGTATTGGGTAGGTTGGGCTATTTTTTCTCATCTTAATTTCCTTTTTAGAATCAGTACTTTGATTCTCACCGCCTCAAGGTTGATTCAGCCTTCTATCCTTCTGAGGTCGGTAAAATGAGGACCCAGATTGTTGTGGACAATATGCTGACTCTAGCACTATGGAACGGTATATATGTCTAAGTGCTATTTCTATTAGATTAAAGAATTTTATAGCCTCATTGAAAAAACAGAAAGGCAAATGTTAATAATATTTTATTTTGCAGTTGCATTTTAATTTGTTTTCCTACGTAACATCTCATTTTTTTAATTTTCCCAAAGAGCAAGACATGCATTTATTTAATGGATAGAGAAAGAGAGGTTCATAGTCAGACTATATGGTTGTAAGAATAGATCGGTTCATTGTGCAATCTTTTGATAACATGTGGATTTTGGCCTTCTATTAGAAACCGTCAGCATAATCTGATTCAAAAGATCATAATGCTGAGGCTTTTTAAGGTAATTAATTGGTGGGCTGAAAATAGGACTTTAATCCTTTGCATTTCAACCTCTTTGTTTCCCAATATAACTTTTCATCAACATCTTTTTTGCTTTAAATGTAATAGGAAAATTTTTAAAAAAGGAAATCACCATATGAAGAGCTGTACGTAGATTCTTGGCTTGGTCTAGTTCTATAGTTATTTGCTTTGAGCTCCAGGACCTACAGGTAGTCCTTGACTTACGACCACAATTGAGCTCAAAATTTCCATTGCTAAGCAAGGCAGTTGTTAAGTGAGTTTTGCCCCATTTAAATGATCTTTTGTGCTACAGTTGTTAAGTGAATAACTATAGTTTTTAAGCGAATCATGCAGTTATTAAGCAAATCTGGCTTCCCCACTGAGTTCGCTGGGAAGATTACAAATAATGATCTCATTGCCAGTTGCCGAATTTTGATCACATGACCATGGGGATGCTCCAACAACTGTAAGTGTGAAAACCCTTCATAAGTCACTTTTTCAGTGCTGTTGTAACTTTGAACCGTCATTAAACAATAGTTGTCATTTGAGGACTGCCTGTATTTCTATCTGGAACCCTATAAAGCAGTGGTTCTCAACCTGTAGGTCGGGACCCCATTTGGGGTCGAACGACCATTTCACGGGGGTCGCCAAACAACACAGTCCGCCATTTTTTTCCCCTTTTCCTTAGCTGTGCTACTCCCTTTTATTCTATTGGCTTTTGAAAGCCAATAGAATAGACTCTCTTGAATAGAGTCTAATTCTATTGGCTTTCAAAAGCCAATAGGAATTGTCCAGGCTGTCTCTGCCCTGCTGAGCCCGCCAAAAGTCCCATTCTGCAAACAATGCTGCACCAGTTGAGTAGTCCTCGACTTACGACCGGTTGGGGGTCACGGCATTAAAAAGGTTGAGAACCACTGCTATAAAGAAACTTTCCATTTTTTTGCTATAGGTATTTCAACCTTTATTTATAGACATTAAAAATACAGATGAATGGGGTATGCGGGATTAAGACTGATGGTTGCAAAACCATTTCTCACTAGCTTACCTAGGAATGCATACAATGGTATGGTGAACCTCTTGGGGATTTTCAACCTGTGACCCTATTTTTTTTCTAACCTGTCAAACTGAGTGGTATATTGCAAGTATATACCATACAAAATTACATTTTAAGAGAATTGTCAACTTGTGGATTTTGGAAAAGATTATTCCAAGTCACCATGATATTAAAAGAAAGTGTAATGTTTAAAGAAATAAATTCTGGTATTCCTTGAAAAATTACACCGCAGCTAAGTAATTTTTCACAAATGAAATGAGAATGGATTCTTTCAGTTAAGTGGGTTCCTGTGGGTTAGATATATGTTTGCATCATGCTAAAAGCACATTTATGACATTCATTTATGTACTTGTGTTTTTCTCTCCTGCAGTTTCCAATATATAACAGAATGTTGCAGGTGTTTGTAGGGTACACATGCAAACAAATTTATTCTGTCCTATAATTAGGAATTAAGAATTTATGTACTTACAATATAATTTCATTGCTAATACCTATTGTCTCATTGCATTTATCCATGATTCATGGTATAACCATCTTTTTCTACCATATTGGTGCTATATTTTTAAAAAGAGCTTTTATCTACTCAAGTAAAAGTGATTCTGTATTGCCAGACTCCTTTATGCAGAATTACTTTATGTCATTCATATTTCTAATGCACAGACTGTCTCTGTGATAACTATACCCCAAATCTCTAATCATTTTGTGTTATATACATTATATACAATTTGGATAGTTACTTATTTTACACATATTTGGTCTTTTATTACAGTATGAAGTTGAAACTTTTTTATCAGTGGTAGGGGTATCAAAAGCAAAAAAAAACCAAAAAACCAAATAGGGGTATAGAAAAGGTGAAATGTGATTGCAATCAGTGTCTGTAAGTATAGACATTGGGAGGGCAGAGATGAGAATTAGAAGTAAGAAAAGTTCAGTAATTCAGATAGCAACAGCGATACCACTTATATACCACTTCACAGTGCTTTACAGCTCTCTCTAAGCAGTTTCAAGAGTCAGAACATTGCCCCCAACAATCTGGGTCCTAATTTTGCCAAACTTAGAAAGCTGGAAGGCTGAGTCAACCTTGAGCTGGTCAGAATCGAACTGCTGGCAGTCGGCAGAATTAGCCTGCAATATTGCATTCTAACCACTGTGCCACCACAGCAAGCCATCATAATCATTTAGGTCCATTCCTCATGGCTTATAGAAGATCTTTAAAGACATCTTTATTCCCAGGATTTCCAACCCTAGCTAAGTTTTATTGGCATCCATCTCACAAGAAGGTTGCTTTACTACTATTGAATTATTATATTGCAAGCAACCTAGAACTAAGGAGAAATTTCCTGACAGTTAGAACAATTAATCAGTATAACTCTCAAACTACAGGTAGCTCACAGACACTTTCCACTACTAATAGCAGAGATGAATTCACTGCTATCAGGACTTTTTCTGGCAGCCTGTTGCCCCAGCTTCTTTTCTCAGAGGACTAATTAGGTGGGAGGGAGCATATTGTCTTCCCTTTGAGCAATTCATGGCCTTCACATAGTATGTCTGAGGGAGTGCACTTTGCTCCAGAACAGACACCAGGATTCACTGGGTTGAGCATTTGCATCTGGCTCCAAAATCTAGACAACCATTAGTTGGCAGAAAAGAGACCTAGAAAATGGATAACTCATTGCTGTTATCTCATGCTTATCTGGATTTTTGCAGCCCAGTTTCAGTGCGTTAATTTCACGGATGACCTAGTTGTGAGTGCTATGGGAACCTAACTTTAATTCATGTATTTCATTTAGGTTCAGCTATAAATGACAGAAGCAGTCGATCCACTTCAATCTGTATTCAAAGAAGCACGATTGCAGCTTTCTTAAAAAAGATTAAGCAAATTATAGATTTTCTGAGTGATTTTTGTGACATAAAAATATACAACAATTTTATTTCTTTTTTGCAGATTGGCTGATAATCAGCTGACGGATATGGATAATTAGTGTATTAAATGCCTAAAAGGGGGTAGTTCATATCTGTATCTCCTTAGAAAGTCTAGGATAATTTGTTATTTCCCTCTTCATTATATTGTTTTACACTACTGTACTGTTTGGCATTCACTTGTAGAGATGTACCTTTGAGGGAAAACAGAAGGGGGGGGGAATTAAGAAAATGGGTTATGCCTGCAGAAAAACCTTTTCTGTATAAGGCATTATACAGAAAAGCTGTATAAGTCTGGAAAAAGATTTGGCTTTTTTACTGATTTTAAGGGAGGTGCTTCATACACATTCATGTTTATTGAAAAGCAATAACAGTAATCATCATCATCATCATCATCATCATTTTCATCTGCTGGAAAAAGATTCTGACAATTTGTTGAACTGATTACTTAAGTCTTTTTCATAATTAAATTAATTAAAGCCTTATATTTAACCTCATGACTAGCTGGTTTTTGCTTTATCTCCCTTCCCCTAATGCAAAGGCTTTGAAGTTCCTTGTTTTTAATGTATCTGAGGTGAGCCCAGTTCTGTAGTCTAAATAAATGTGAATGTATTTCAGATAACCAAATGTTGCAATTGGCAGTACAGCCTAATGTATCATCCATAATAATGCTTTCAATTTATTTGCATTTGTAGCTGTTATAATTATTGTGAAGGATAGAGTGTGCCTATCTTGTCTCTTACTACTGTAATTAACCATCTTATTTAGAATTGCTTTTAAAAAAAAAATCAGCTAAGCTCATTTAACAATATGACCAATCATTTCCCAAATGCTCATATGGCAGCAGATCATTATATACAACCTGGAAATAGTACTAGAGATGTCAAACTATTAAAATTCAATCGAATATTGCATTTATTATAAAGCCAAACAACTTTATAACCTGGGTATCTCTATGATGACATATTTGGAGTGTTAATTATTTCTGGTTGCTCTGTTTAATTACAGTTTGAAAATGAGATAATCACAAAACTGGATCATGAAGTAGAAGGTGGAAGAGGAGATGAACAATATAAAGTGTTATTTGACAAAATGTAAGCACTCATAAAAGTTGGATTTATAATGATTAATTAACATTTGTTGATACAAAATATTTCAAATTAGTCTTTCATGAAGGAACTGTTCCCAAGTTTGATTAATAAGATTTTTTTATTATTATTACTTTTTCAGTCTTTTAGAACACTGCAGAAAACATAAGTACCTTGCCAAAAGTGGTGAAACTTTTGTTAAACTTGTGGTATGGCTGATGGAGAGACTTCTAGATTACAGAACTATTATGCATGATGAAAACAAGGAAAACCGCATGAGCTGTACAGTCAATGTTCTGGTGAGCAATGAGACAGTTATATGTGGAAGAAAAAAATTCTATATGATCTCCTTTTTCTTAGGCTGCCTAATGTTATGACTATAATTAAACGGATAAGATTCTGCCCGTTGGATATTTCACAAAAAAAGTAAAATTTGAGAACTTCTTTTTCTTCTTTAAGATTGGTATTTATGTTACTTTAGAAATGGGGATTAGACAAACCATCATAAATTAAATATATGATTCTGTTCATGCCATCATTATTCATCTAAGTAAGCTGCAAATAAAAGGGGAAATATATGATGATAAAATCTAACTTTGGCAAAAGAGCTTGATTGGTAAAATGCTGCATCTTAAAAGTATATTGTAGTCAATTTTGTTAGATAGATTTAGGGGACTAAAAAGTCTGATAGGTTGATAGGAATGTAAACTGTTAATGCCTTGGTTTACTGCAATTTTCTAAAAAATAAAAATAAAAGATAAATTTAAGAGTATAAATGGGAAGCATAGCTTCAAGCCAGAAGAAACCTGACAATTAAAACTTTAAAAAAATCAAATAGCATGGTAACAGATATACTGTTGATTTAATTAAATATCATCTCTGCATTTACAGTAATTGTCAAGTCTTTTCCTTAGTGTCTCAAGGCTGCCATGTTACAGGAAAATGATCCATAAATATACCTATACAGAATGAAACAGAAACCTCAGTATCTTTAAGATTCACAGTAAACGGGGCATGAAGCTTTTAAGAAAGTCTATTGGCTTTTGTTGACATGGAATATCTGTTGGAATCATTTAGCATGGTCTTCCAAGAATTAGACCACTAAATCCCTGCAAACAGTCACAAACTCATAGGATCAGAACAGCTTCAGAAGCTCTTTACCGGTCATCCCTCTTGTGGATTATACATCAGATGGGGAAAAAAGATAAGATAAAGCTAATTTAAACAAGAAAAATAGAGAAATCAGCTTTTGGGATTTGGTATTTGGTGTTATTCTTTTTTCAAGAACTCTAAACAAAAGTTAGGAGTACGTATTATTAAATAACTTTACAACCTTTATAGTTTCAGCCATTTACCACATGTAATAACACCATCACCATCATTATTATTATTCCCAAATCAAGTCTCTTTATTGAATATTATGAACGGTAATCTCCCACACTCTTTCCATAGAGAATTTTTTTTTTTAGTTCTTACCTTGAATAAGGACTGGACAAAAATCTGGGTGTTTTCACTTCTAGTCTAGAACCTTAACCACTATTAGAGCTTAGCTCCCCAGAAATTTATTTATATAATAATAATAATAATTCCCCAGTGAGGCACTACCTTGACGTGGTTGTGGGGCTTGTGTACTCTGAGGAAGATGAGAGCTATGCCAGAGGTTCAACCATACTGGACAGGTCTCATCAGAGCAGTCAGACAAAGAGTGTCTCTCCCATAAAAAATATGGTGAGACGTAAATTTCAGAATGCCATACCGGCTCGGATGTCACCCGGGTTAACAAGGTCCGCGCTAGATATTGGAGTTCCTGGATATCTGGTGAAAAATGGGTTACAGGACTCAGGACTGTTGGCTGAGAAACCAGGACCAGCAGCTGCAGAACTACTGGAAGAAAAGGTGTTTACCCGTCGTAGATACACAGTGATGGAAAACAAAGAAATAATGATCTGTTACTACAGATCAAGTCCAACAAGAAGAGGATATCTAAAACGAATGCACCAGTTCTGGAAAGAACAACATCCAGAATCAGAAATAACAGAACAGAGACTAGCAGATCAACGCCGATTTATAATACAAATAAAGTATTCACAGAAACAGAATTGGACGAACTGCAAAGGTTTACCCAGGGCAAAGAAATCAAAGCCTTACCAGAAGTAATTCAGAATGTAGAGGCAAACCAGGGGGAGTTGGCAGTGAAGGAATCCAGCAGAGATATACAACTGTTCTCATTTGGAAACCAGGCACCTCTTCCTCAGGAAGAACAAAACCCTCTAACTAAAGAAATAAAAGAATTGAAACAAAGAATAACTGAGCATCTAGAACAGCACAAAAACAACAGAATAAGGCTACCTGCATTGAAGCTTGTTCCAAAGAAACAGCTAGCACAAGCATTAAAAGATGCAAATACTGCAATAGCAAGTATAAGCACCAATTCACTGCAAGAAACAAACCAACTAATGTACAGCACAGCTGCAGTTATAACAGAATACCTGGGATGCAAAATCAACAAAAAGAAAAACAAACAAACAGTGCACCAGAAAAATGGAAGGTTAGACTAGAAAATAAGATCAGCAAGTTAAGATCACATGCAAGCAAGCTAGAACAGATGAAAGAAAAGAAGCTGAAGAACAAGAAGACCAAAGAATACCTAATCAAGAAATACCACTTAGAAACAAGGAAGATCAAGGAAGCACTGGAAATAATAAAGCAACAAATAACAGCTATAGCCAGGAAAATCAGTAGATATGAAGCTCGAATTGCAAACTATAGGCAGAACCTCCAATTTCAATCCAATCAGAAACGTTTCTACCAATCCATCAATGGAGAAACTGCAAGGAATCAGTCAGTACCTGACAAGGAAGAAACAGTGCAGTTCTGGAAGCAGATATGGGATAACCCAAAGAAATACAACAGGATGCGGCTTGGTTAAAAGAGGTGGATGCAAATAAAATAGAAGTTGAAATGAAAGAACTAGTAATAACAACAAAAATGGTAGAAAAAAGAGCAAAGAAAATCAAAAATTGGTCAGCACCAGGTGAAGATGAACTGCATGGGTTTTGGTTGAAACATCTAACTGTTATACACCCACTCATTGCCAAGCAGTTCAACAATATATTACAAGAAGGAGAAACTGAAAAGTGGCTAACAACTGGGAAAACCTACCTAATAATGAAAAATCCAGCAAAAAGGGCAATACCAGGTAACTACAGGCCAATTACTTGCTTACCAACAACTTTCAAATTACTAACTGGTGTGGTAGCTGATGCAGTACAACAGCATCTAGTTGAAAACAATCTCTTTCCACCTGAGCAGAAAGGAAACCGCCCCAATAGCAGAGGAACAAAAGATCAACTCCTAATAGACAAAATGATCTTGGAAAACTGCAAGAGAAGGAAGACCAACCTGAATGTGGCATGGATTGACTACAAAAAGGCATTTGACTCTCTGCCACATGACTGGATAATCAAGTGCCTAGAAATAACAGGAGTCAGTAGAAACATCAGAAAATTTGTGCAAAGATCGATGGCACAATGGAAGACACAGTTGCAGATCAATGGTGAGAGACTGGGAGAGGTTAATATCAAGAGAGGAATATTTCAAGGAGATTCATTATCACCATTACTATTTGTCATTGCACTGTTTCCTCTGTCAACAATACTGAATAACTCAGGACATGGCTATCAAACATCAAAAACATCTGCCAGACTATCCCATCTCCTTTACATGGATGATCTGAAGCTGTATGGAAAAACATCATCTGAAATAGAATCGCTGCTCAACACTGTCCGTATATATAGCCAAGATATTGTAATGGAGTTTGGCTTGGACAAATGTGCCACACTTACTATCAAACAAGGAAAAATAGTGAAAACTGAAGGAATCAAGATGCCCCACGAAAATAACATTAAGAGTCTGGATGAGGAAGAGTACTACAAATACTTGGGTATCCTTCAAGCTGACAACATCAAGCACACTGAAGTCAAGAAAAAGATTAGAGGTGAATACATCAAGAGAGTGAAGAAGATCTTAAAATCCAAACTCAATGGAGGAAATACCATAAAGGCAATCAACACCTGGGCAATCCCAGTCATTAGGTACACAGCTGGAATAGTGGACTGGACTCAAGCAGAACTAAAAGCAATGGATAGGCAGACCAGAAAAATAATGACAATGAATCATGCCCTTCATCCACGCAGTGACATTGATAGACTTTATCTACCAAGGCAAATAGGTGGGCGTGGAATGCTACAAGTACATCAGATGGTTGAAGAAGAAAAAATGGCTTTGGAAGAATATCTGAAGAACAATGATGAAGATGCACTGAAATTAGTATATCAGGAAGGCTTACTAACTACTGGAGAGACCAAACTGGCCTACAAGAAAGACCAAATGAAGAACAGAATAGAGGCATGGGAAGACAAAGCACTACATGGCCAATACATGAAAAAAATAGCTGGGAAAGCAGATAATAATAAAACCTGGCAATGGCTAAGAGCAGGAAAATTGAAGAAAGAGACCGAGGGACTAATTCTGGCTGCACAAGACCAAGCCTTAAGGACAAATGCATACAAAGTCAAAATTGAGAAGACAGCAACAGACAGTAAGTGCCGCCTATGCAAAGAAGCTGAAGAAACAGTGGACCACCTGGTAAGCTGTTGCAAGAAGATTGCACAGACTGATTACAAGCAGCGGCATGACAAAGTAGCAACAATGGTGCATTGGAAGATCTGCAAAAAATATCATTTGCCTGTAAGCAAAAACTGGTGGGATCATAAAATAGAGAAAGTCATAGAAAATGATAAAATTAAACTGCTCTGGGACTTCAGAATTCAAACAGACAAGCACCTGCAACATAACACCCCAGACTTAACAATTGTCGATAAGAAAGACAAAAAAGTCTGGATAGTGGACGTGGCAGTGCCTGGAGATAGCAGAATAGAAGAGAAAGAACTGGAGAAGATAACAAAATACAAAGACCTACAAATAGAAATAGAAAGACTGTGGCAAAAGCAAGCAAGGGTAGTACCAATAGTCATAGGCTCCTTGGGTGCAATCCCAAAACAACTGGAGCACCACTTGAACACCATTGGCATTGACAAATTCGCTATTAGTCAATTGCAAAAGGCGGCCTTACTAGGAACTGCTTCCATCCTGCGACGATATCTGTAATACCATCAAACATCCACATCTGCCTATCCCAGGTCCTGGGTAAGGACTCGATAGGTAGACAAAATGCCAAATCCAGTCTGAACATCTGGCTGACTGTGCGATGATCGATAATAATAATAATAATAATAAT